GAGGAGGAGGAGAAGGGAAAGAGGAAGAGGAAGAGGGGGAGGGGAGGAGGAGCAGGAGGGGAAGAGGAGCAGGAGTAAGAGCAGGAGGAGGGGGAGGGGAGGAACAGGAGGAGGAGGAAGAGAAGCAGGAGGAAGAGGAAGAGCAGGATGAAGGGAGGAGGAGCAGGAGGAAAAGGAAGGGGAAGAGGAGGAGGTGGAGGAAGAAGAAGAAAAGAGGGAGGAGGAAGAGGAAGAGAGGAGGAGGGGGAAGATGAGGAGCAGGAGGAGGAGGAGGAGGACTGTGGGGTCCTGGGTAGTTTCTGAGCTGGGTGGTTTCCTTGCAGACGTTTCATAATCCAAACTAGCCACCATCAACCTTCTTGGTCTGGTTTTCTTCCATTGTTCCCTGTGCCAGGCCTGGGCGTTGACCCGGTTCCTGCAGGGGGCCCGCTGGATGTTTATCCCGGAATCCCGCAACCGGACAAGAAATACCTTGCAGGAGCCGCTGCTGAGAAGAGACCCTCAGACTCCCGGCAGCTGGGCTGCCCCATGGAGCGGCGCCACACCATCTGCAGCCTGGACTGGCGCATGTCTCGTGGGGGGTCAGAAGGGCGTCCGAGTGGCGGAGGGAGCCTGGAGCGCAAGCAGGCCACAGGCAGCTGGGAGAAGAGGCAGCGGACCAGCAGCGGCACCGGGAGAGCCTTCGGCAGCTGGGAGCCCCGGCAGAACCACGGGGGCAGCTGGGAGCGCCGGCACGGCAGCCAAGCCGGGGGCAGCTGGGAGCGCGGGAAGACCTATGGCAGCTGGGAACACCGCCACACAGGTGCCAATCCCCTGGATCCCAAGGAGACCTGCCCAGACGCCTACTGCAACCTGGTCATCTTGGCCGTGGCCAATCGAGTAAGTGGGTCAGCCCTGCGGCCAGACGGTTTCTTTCTTTTTTTCCCCCACAAGCGGGGTGCTAGAGGTCATCCAGACCAGTGGTCGCCAACTGTAGGCCACAGCCCACTGGTGGTCCGCGAGAAAATTTTGGTGGTCCATAGAGAAATGTCCCCCCCAAAGCAATTAATCCAGGCTGGGCAGGAAATCAAGTCTGCGCTGCCCACATGGCCCGCGGGAACCCTCCCCGCCCACCTCACTCCTTACCTGGCAAACTTGCCTGCTAAGTTGCTATTTTTTCCTTTTTTCTGACCATCAGCTGTTCTGCTGTGCTGGGAGATTTAGATTAGCTAGAAAGCAGGAAATGGTTGGATTTCTTGCTTTTTAGTTAATCTTTAGATCTTCCGCTCTGCTTTTAAGCAGAGCTGAACCTTTCTTAGGTTCTGAAGCTTCTATTATTATTCTGTGCAGACTCAGATGGCCGATCGCAGAAAGATAGATCTCTAAGTGAATCTGTGATTCTGTGAGCCACTCAATTTGCCTGCCTGCTTTGCCTGATTTGGGGTAAAAGTTGCTCTTTTCTTTTATAAAAAAATATCAATATTTACATACATGGAGTGTTGTGAGTTCATTCTGAGTTTGCTCGCAAATTTTATGTGACAGACTCAGGTAGCCAATGGCAGAAAGATAGATCTCTAAGTGAATCTGTGATTCTGTGAGCAAATCAATCTGCCTTCCTGCTTTGCCTGATTCTGGGTAAAGTTGCTCTTTTTAATAAAAAAAATTCAATATTTACATAAATATTTATAATGTTTACATACAAGCCATACCCAGCCAGTCACATGACCACCAAGCCACACCCACAAATTAGGCCACGCCCAAGAACTGATTGTTAAGAAATTTGAACCCCATCCCTACTTCTGTGTGTGTGTGAGAGAGAGAGAGAGAGAGAGAGAGAGAAAGAGAGAGAGAGGGAGGGAGAGAGAGAGAGAGAGAGGTTACCGTATATGCCGGCGTATAAGACGACCCGGCGTATAAGACGACCCCCCAACATTTCCACTCAAAATATAGTTTGTTATATACTCGCCCCCTCTTCCGCACGCCTTCCACTTTTGCACTTTTTTTTTTTTTTTGAGGCACTTTTGTGCACCGTGGAAACGAATCCCGTGAAGCCGAAAGGAGCAGCCAGCCTTCTCCCAGCTCCCAAGGAAACGAGGCTCGCACCGCCCGGGCTCCGCTGAGGTATCCGGCTGGGGCTGTCAGAAGTTGTTACCGCTGGCGCGGCTCCGCGCGGCTCCAGTCCTGCGTTGCCTCGGGAAGGGAAAGGCAAAAAGGAAGAGCCGCGGCGGCACTTTGCAATGGCAGCAGCGGCTCCTGGTTTTGCCTTTCCCTTCCCGAGGCAACGCGGGACTGGAGCCGGGCGGAGCCGCGCCAGCGGTAACAACTCCTGACAGCCCCAGCCGGATACCTCAGCGGAGC